TTCCACTTTGCTTATGGCCCTAAATACCGACAGAGTTTGTGGTCACAAAAGGCTTCTGTAGCCTTGGCAGCTCATGGCAAGAGACTTGGGTGATCACTGAGGTCATAAATAAGAGTGTTAATAGTTAAATTAACAACATGAGTTACTGTGCACTTACTCCACATGTAGGACCTTTGTCCTTAATGAGCTATACTATGAGAATTAACTGCAAAACTTGTTCCCAAACAGTACTTTTTACATTGTGTGTGGGTATGTGTGCAAACAGTTGAAATCTTTACTTAGTATAGAGTTGGTCTGCTGTATATAAAGTTAATTAAAAATGAATCTTAAAGAAGAATGAGATGGGAGAGGGAGTAGGAGGTGGGATGGAAGTGGGAGTGGGAGGGTGGGTATGGTTGGGGGGAAAACACTACAGTCCCAAAGTTGTGCTTATGAAAATTATATTCAGTCAATACAAGATTAAAAAAAAATTACATCTTTTGAAGTACCTTTGTATTTTTAACCAAGGATTCCAATACAGTTGCAACTTTTCTTCTCACTTGTCCAGTTCTACTAAAATTCAGCATCAACACAGTGGACCAATGTGCAGTTATGATGAATGCGTAGAACAGGTTTTCTCAAACATTTTGTCTCTGGATCCTTTTATATTCTTTAACATTTATTGTGCATCCCACAGAGCTTTCTTTGCATGAGTTACATCTATTTATAGTTACTAGGACATGCATTGAAATGGAGAAAACTTAAACATATTTGTGTAGTATTAATTCATTAAAATAAAACAATAAACCCACTGTAAGTTTATATAAATGATACTTCTTTATGAAAAACAGCTATATTTTCCAAAACAAAAAAAATGCAAGTGGCATTATTTAACAGTTTTTTCCACATCTCTTCAAGAGAACTAGAATCCCATATCTGTTTCTACATTCCATCTGTTGTGATATGTTATTTTGGTTTAAGTTTGTGAGGAAAATCCATCCTCACACCGAGCTAGCTGGAAAGTAAAGGAGTATTTTAATAGTTTTTTCAGATAGTTAGGGATATTTTTCTGTGTTGCTGTGTTAAAATTCAGTTAGTGGCAGTTTCTTAAAGCTTTGTTATAATGTGAAATCTGAAATCATACCATGAACTTTTTGTGCCTGCTAGGCTGTAATTCATTGGTCTTAGGCCTTTTCCCACTTACGATTTTGTGGCAATATTTCCTGGCCATTTGAATAACATTAGATCCCTGAATTATCCAGATCACCCAGCTGTTGAGGAATCTCATGTATTGCAATATAAACCATCACAGTTTGAATATCGCATCCATCTTGTTGGAAAGCTAAGTACTGGGGAGATGTCCACTTCACAATGGTAGATAGGAGTTTTTCCAAATGCTGATTTTCTACCTACTGGTTCCCTCCCCAAATGACTGCCTTGGAGGAAGCCAGGAGCCCAGGAGCTCCTTCTGGGTCTCCCACACAGGTGACAAGGATGGAAGCACTTTAACTACCAGCTGCTGTTTCCCATGTGCATTTGCAGGGAGCTAGTTCAGAAGCAGAGTATATGGGATCCAACCAGCACTCCAATATTGGATGTGGCTTAACCTGCTGTGCCACAATGCCAGGCCCTGAGAGCTCCAGTTTTGTCAATTGTTTTCCTTGAAGTGAAGGCTCACTTCATTCATTTTTTTCTTTTTTCTTTCTTTCTTTTTTTTTGAAAGGCAGAGTGGACAGTGAGAGAGAGAGACAGAGAGAAAGGTCTTCCTTTTTGCTGTTGGTTCACCCTCAGTGGCTGCCGTGGCCGGCGCGCTGCGGCCGGCGCGCTGCGGCCGGTGTGCTGCGGCTGGCACACCGCGTTGATCCAAAGCCAGGAGCCGGGTACTTCTCCTGGTCTCCCATGGGGTGCAGGGCCCAAGCACTTGGGCCATCCTCCACTGCACTCCCGGGCCACAGCAGAGAGCTGGCCTGAAAGAGGGGCAACCGGGACAGAATCCGGAGCCCTGACTGGGACTAGAACCCGGTGTGCTGGTGCTGCAGGTGGAGGATTAGCCTATTGAGCCATGGTGCCAGCCCATACTTTCTAATTTGTTACACAGAATATTAAAAAATGTACATGCAAATGTTAAGATTTAATATAATCAATAACTTTATTGTTTCATTAAAGACATTCTTTTAAAATTTATGTTTATTTATTTATTTTGTTTGATTTGAATGGTAGAGAGATAGAGAAAGGGATACAGAGTTAGAGACAGACAGATATCTCTTCTCTGTTAATTCACTCTCCAAATACCTGCAGCAGTCTGGGCTGTGCCAGGGCAAAGTCAGGATCCTGAAACTTAATCAACGTCTCCCACAGGGGTGGCAGGGATCCAAGTACTTGAGCTATTAACTGCTGCCTCCCAAGGTGTGCATTAACACAAAGCTGGAATTGGGAGCAGAACTGGTACTCAAACCTAGGCACCCAATAAGGGATTCTGGTATCTTAACCAGAAGACCAGGCAGTGGCACATTAAGGACATGAATAAGTGAAACTGGCAGTTTTCTCTCTTTTTCCCCTGTGTTTGCACAGAAGTGAAGAATGGCAATGAGTGCTGTCACAATTTCCTATCACTGCAATGATCTGTGCTAGGCACTCACAGGTTTATTCATCATCACCAAGGAGTGTCAGCACAATGAGGCAAGCAAACCATATCTCAGTATCACTGTGAAGATTGCTTTGACCTTGCAGTCCCACAGAAAGGGCCTGGGAGATTCCTAGGGACTCATGGACCACAATGAAAACCATTGCTCTTTGACCTTTTACATGATACCAGGTTCTTCAGACTATATTATAACAGAGAGGGGGAAAGTTTACACAGTTGTAGAGCAAGAACATCAATGCTTGCCACTGTCTGTCCTAAGTTAGTTCAAACTGCTTTGATTCTCCTTTGTGACAGGTGTGGAAAAGGAGTCAGTAGCCATATCTGCAATGGCAAGCTCTGTACTGAATGCTGTGTTCATCCACTCTAGCAAATGCGATGCCAATTCATCAGGTCCTGCAGATCCTGCACTGTGGTGGTGAATACTTGGTTAAATTCTCTGTGCATCACTGTCATCTGATAAGATCCAATCAGGTTTTGCAGGGCAAATTGGGTAAAATAGAGAAGCAATCATCTCTGTGATTTCCCCTCAGATTCTCCTCGGTGTTATTGTGATTTATTACTGTGGCTGCCAAAAAAAGATTTTGGAGGCTCCCTCTTGGCCTTCCATATTATAACAATATTCAGTGTGGGGTTCAGAATCATCCCAATTGCATCCTTGAGCACTGGAGAAGTATACCCTGTGGGACCACTGACCCAGTGCATTCACCATGAGCTGGATTTAGCCCAGGCCTCCATTCATCAGCTGGCCCCTAATAGCTATTTCTCCTTTAGTGAGACCACATTGGCACTTCGGGTTCCTGAACATCCATGTCAGTCCACTCCTGATCCAGCTCTCTGCTATGGCCTGAGAAAGCAGTAGAAGATGACCCAAATCCTTGGGCTCCTGTACCCACATGGGAGACCTGGAAGAATCTCCTGCTTCAGATTGGTGTAGCTCTGACCATTGCAACCAACTGGGAAGTGAACCAGTGAATGGAAGACCTCTCTCTCTCTGCCTCTCCTTCTCTCCCCGTGTAACTCCATCTTTCAAAGAAATAAATCTTTTTAAAAAATAAATTTAGTCATTCAAATAAATAGAAAAATACAGCATCAATCTGAGATTACCAGGAATAACCTTAATTTATATTACAATGCTTCTGTTCAGATATCTTTAATAATCTAAGTTGCCTAAAGTAAGTACTAAATTACTAGTTGACTCAGAATACAATTTTCTGTGATTTTGTTCTTTCTTATGTTTATGCCTGTACATGTAAAGTTCTCAGTGCATTCTCTGTTAGAAACTGAATCTTTTAACAATGGGTGGTTTTGGGCCAGTGCTGAGGTGCAACGGGTTAAAGCTCTGGCTGCAAGCGCCAGCATCCCAAATGGGCACCGATTCTAGTCTCTGGCTGCTCCTCTTCTGATCCAGCTCTCTGCTATGGCCTGGGATAGCAGTAGAAGATGGCCCAAGTCCTTGGGCCCCTGCACCCACGTGGGAGACCCGGAGGAAGCTCTGGGTTCCTGGCTTCGGATTGGCAGAGTTTGGGCCGTTGCGGCCATCTGGGGAGTGACCAGCAGATGGAAGACCTCTCTCTCTCTCTACCTCTCTCTGTAACTCTTTTAAAATATAAAATAAAGCTTTAAAAATGAATGTTTCTTATTTTCTGTGGCTATATAACTTATGCCCAGATTTACTTGTAAATATGTGAGATTTCATGACACTCATTGTGTGTGCACTTTAACAAAAATGCTTCTTGCCATCTTACTTTCCCTCTTATGATATCTTTTTCTTTGTCCCAAGTTCCTCTATCTTGCTTTCTCTCCATGAAGTACTTTAAATCCCAACATCTGGGTAGGAGCTTTAGATACTTAATCACTGCTGTGGATAGTGTGTGTGTAAGTATGCACAGATGGGGGAGTGGGTGATGCTCCCTCCTGTTCTCACTGAGGTGGAGCCTTTCTAACGACTTACATGCAAGTTTCCCCTCATGAAAAGCAAATTTAGTACAGCCTGCTGAAGAGACGTCTCGCCTTCTTTATAATTCCAAGGAAGTAGATGAATGTTCTGCCGCAATATTCAGCCTTCTCTGGGAGCAGCCATAACTGCTGTCTTGCCTTTTCTCTTTTAAGGACAACAGCCCCTTAAGAGAAGCAGCTCAGTGTTGTGTAAGAAGGAAGCAATCATACAAAAACCTCTGGAGAAGAAGTCCACAAGAAGACAAGCACCTACCGGGACTGAGAAACCGCTCAAGCGCTCCCGACCACCCCTAGAGGGACGGATGTGGGAGGTGGCTAAAAGGATATTTCAAAAGTTCATTGGTCAACTTGTTCCCCGCAGGGGGTCATTTCAGGCAAATCGTGGCAGAACCATGGACAGCACCAAACGGCGCCCTTGGGAGGGGAGAAGCCCCACAGAACCAAGGATTGCGCCGCGCACAGGGACGGTGCGCTGCGGGCCCAGAGGTGAGAGGCCAGAGCAGCACCCCGGACAGCGCCAAAACGCGCGCTCCCGGAACCGGGAGGCGGGGAGAGGTGACCTCATCAGCTGACCGAGTTACGTAGTGCTCCATAAAGCAGTCTGGGTGGGCGCGCCAACGTTTGCTCTGATCCGCAGCCCCAGACGGAGCGGGGAGGTTGGACTGCGCAAAGCGAAGGGCAGGTACCAGAACGCTTGGCTTCCCAGCACTGCGCTGAGGCTGCAGGCGGCCGCCTGGGTAGGGGCAGGTAGGGAAGCAACGCTGCGAGAGCTACCGCTCTGACGCACCAGCCCTTCTGGCGCTCACACGCTGCGGGGCTGCTCTGCCCTGCTCAGGCGGACGTGGGAGCGATCAGACCGCTGTCTCCTCCAGGTGAGGAGTCCTGAGACAGTTGACAGCCTGGGCTGGCCGCGAGTCCAGCTCCTCGCCTCTGCTTTCCTAGCCTCCGAGGGCTCCGACGTTAACGCGGCTTATAGCCCAGGGAGCGCCCTCCTCTCCACCACACTGTCTCCCGGGTTCCCTCACCGGTGGGAGGCTGAAGACAAATTCGCAGGTGCTTCCCAGAAACCCCGCCGCTGGCCCGAGGGTGCAAACATCTGGATTGGCTCCGGGCGCTGCTTTCATCTTAAGTCCTCCTGAATGTCCCTTCTGCACACACCCCGAGCCGGCTCCTAATCCAGAGATGGATTTGGCAGTGAACTTCACTTCCTTTTCCCACTTGACTTCCTCTCCTCTGGAGACCAACGGCAGCCTTGGCACAGAAGACCTGCTGCGCCCCAGCCCGCACCTGCTCTCTGTCTTCGGTGTGCTTGTTCTGACCTTGCTGGGCTTTCTGGTGGCGGCTACGTTCGCGTGGAACCTGCTGGTGCTGGCGACCATCCTGCGTGTCCGCACCTTCCACCGCGTGCCACACAACCTGGTGGCGTCCATGGCCGTCTCGGATGTGCTGGTGGCCGCGCTGGTCATGCCTCTCAGCCTGGTGCATGAGCTGTCTGGGCGTCGCTGGCAGCTGGGCCGGCGGCTGTGCCAGCTGTGGATCGCGTGCGATGTGCTGTGCTGCACCGCCAGCATCTGGAACGTAACGGCCATCGCCCTGGACCGCTACTGGTCCATCACCCGCCACCTGGAGTACACGCTCCGCGCTCGACAGCGCATCTCCAACGTGATGATCACGCTCACCTGGGCGCTGTCCGCTGTCATTTCGCTGGCCCCGCTGCTTTTCGGCTGGGGGGAGACGTACTCTGAGGGCAGCGAGGAGTGTCAGGTCAGCCGCGAGCCCTCCTACGCCGTGTTCTCCACGGTGGGCGCCTTCTACCTGCCGCTCTGCGTGGTGCTGTTCGTCTACTGGAAGATCTACAAGGCTGCCAAGTTCCGCGTGGGCTCCAGGAAGACCAACAGCGTCTCGCCTGTATCTGAAGCTGTGGAGGTGGGTGCTATAGCGATCCTTAAAATACTCTACTTGCATTTGTACAGGCTGTATCCCTGGCGCACGCACACACACACACACACACACACCCCGCGTTTGTAGAAGGTGGAACTTTTTGGATGGCAGGGAGGAGAGACTTTGCTCTGACAGTTATGTATCACAGAGATAATCATGTCATTGATCTCCAATGGATTATTTCCTTATCCATAAAATGCATTCATCTCAGTGGATTATTTCCTTATACATAAAATGAGGCGTTTGGGCCACATACCTCTACAAGGTTTGATCTGGCTCCAGAATTCCATGGGTCTGTAACACCCTTTGGAACATCTGGAGAAGTGGGTGGCTGGGGGTACACTGGGGTTAGCACACTATAAAAATATGAAGCTTCCTGCACTTAAAGTAGGAATGTCCTCGGGGGAAAGGGAGTGATGGGAGCCTGGCTGACAGGAAGATTGCTACACATCAAGCACAGAAGATTAGTGTTTATTCCAGTCCATGTTCTTCTTTGCAAGTTCTATCAACTGATTTTGCAAATACATGCCATCTCCTAGGTTACTGTCATTTTGCAGCATCCTGATCTAAGAGTAAAGATGTTGATTATAGCAGTGTCAGAGCTTGCTTTTGTTACCTGCTTCCATTGTTTGTGGAACTACTTTCTGGGTTTTATTTCAATCCCCCACCTCACTGCACTTAGGCTGTCTGTGTGACTTAAAACCACCCCAGAAAAAGCTACAGGAGGAAATTAAAAATCCAGGATAGACGATTCCCTAGCTCTCTTCAAGTGTCATTTAATAGATGACAGCCACTACAGTGACAATGAGGGCTCATCTTCTCCACACCTCCACTTTCCTGCTTCTTATTAACTCTTCATGAGCTGATCCTGTGACTCAAGATTCTGAAACTATAGAGAGCTGAGTCTACTGGATGTGAAGGCCGTTCCAATTCTACTCCCACACACTCAGTGCCAGGGATGATTCTATGAAACTTATTCACATATTTAAGTTTGATCAGGAACCTGCACAAGCCGTACTTTCTGTGATTGGCTCTGGAACAACAATCTACATTCAATGAAGCACTGAGTGCATCTTGTGGGCTTGGTGCAGGGGCAAAAGTACGATAAGGACATCATTGTTGCCCATGAAGACTTTGCTGTAGTGATGGAAGCAGGCATCCATTGTGAGCTTTGCAATAATATTGCATTTTCTAATTCTGGCTATACCAGGTCAGTCAGGCTTAGAGAGACCAGAGGTGTGGCTAGGGAAAGGGGGGAGTTTCTAGCAGAGATAAGGAAAAAGGTGTCAGGGGCTACCTGTCCTTTTATGTGGAACAATGGTATTCAACCAAGAATGATATTGCCCCTAACCCTGAGAACTTTTGGAATATCTGGCAATATTTCTGATTCTAGAAACTTGGACAAAGGGTGCTAATGAAATCTAATGTGCAGAGGTCAGAAGTGCTGCTAAATGGTGCACAATGCACAGGACAGTCCCCCATAATAAAGAATTGTTAAGACCGAAGTGTTAGTCATACTGAACTTGGAGAACTCTGTTCTTGCTAAAATAAACAAGAAGTAAAAATAGATAATAATGGTGGAGCCCCCCCCCCCCATGCCTGGAGCTCTGTTTCATGTGTGTGAGCCAGGTCAGGGACAAGGCAGCTGGCCTCCTTCAAGGGCCCTCCTTACAGGAATCCTCTTCTGTCAGGATGCTTGTCTAGGAAAACATGACTAATACTCAACACCAAACACAGCTTGAAAGAGGGAAATCAGTTATAATTCTCCTCTGGGCTTATTGTCTAAAGGGGCAGGGCGCTCTCATTTCACCATATTGGTGATAGCAGAAGCAAAGTATTAGGACATCTTTACGCTTTCATCTTCTCCCTCTCTGTCTCCCTCACCCCTCTCTCCCACTCTCTTCCTTTCTCTCTGTCTTCATTTCTCCCTCTCTCCCTCCCTCTCTCTCTCCCTCTCCACACACACACACACACACACACACTACTTCTAGACATTTGTGGACAATGGAATTATAAAATGTTTATTTGGGTGCAGTATATATACTGATTTCTTTTTTTCTCTCTGAAAGATCACTGTCTTGTGTTCTTAAAATGTTTTATTTACTTATTTATTTGGAGGAGAGGGAGGGAGGGAGGGAGAGAGAGAGAGACCTTCTAGCCTCAGAGAGAGAGAGAGAGAAAGAGAGAAAGAGAGAGAGAGAGGAGAGACCTTCTAGCCTCAGGTTCACTCCCCAGTGTCTGCAACAGCTAGGGCTGGGAAATGCCAAAGCCAGGAGCCAGGAGCTCCATCCAGGACTCCCACATGGGTGGCAGGGATCCGGGTACCAGGGACATCACCTACTGTTTTCCACGATCACCAGCAGGAAGGCTCAGATGCACGACTCAGTCTCTGGCCCTCCAGCCTCTGGTATGGGATGCGGGGGTCCCATGTGGCAGCTTAACCTGCTGTGCCACAATGCCTGCTCCTGTCAGATCACTCAAAATGAACCCTATGGGTTTGCGAGGCTGCCACATGATCTAGGGTTCTGCATATAACACCAGGGTTGCCTCTGCCCTATGTTTTGCTGAAGAATTAATTACACACCAGGCCTCTTGATTTCTCCATGGTAGTGGGTGTCAAAGTTTCTAAATACAGTTCTATCACTAGCTGTGTTGCCTAGGGAAACCATAA